CATTTTCATTGCACTGTATTATTTTTAAAAAAAGGCTTTAAATTACTTTGGACTATGAATTCAATGTTATTTCTATTCAGGGAATAGTATAGGCTTGTGTTATCTGTCTCTTAAAGAAGTCATGTGATGCTTTTTGGCTTTTCCCCTCTCCTTTATTGAGTTATAAACCTTTTTTGTGCATGTAACAGGTTTGCAAAGTGAAAAAGCCCAAAGTCCAGCCCAAAGGGAGTTCCCATCTGCCACAGAAAACTCTGCTGTGAACCGCGTGAAAACAGCTCGTTTGTAGTCCAGCCTTTTCTTCAGCTTTCTGATGACGTCACAACGAAACATGTGTCATAACGCTCGCCAAGCGGCTACTCGGACATGCCCTCAAAAACAGCGGAGGAAAATAACTGAGCTGCAGCACACAGCTCTCCAATCCCTTCCAAACACCAGCTCCCCTCCAGGCAGTCAGTGGACATAAAGTTGTTCCTGTGATGTAGAGACAGAGGTCAGTTAAAACTTTATGGATACAGATTAATAACTCACCGCTCTGAAACTCTCGCCCCAGTCCATGTTGCCGAGCTGGTCGGCAACATGTACAGCTGAACCCGAGCTGTTTACCGTCTTCTCGCTGACCCGCCCTTCTCTGCTTCTGATTGGCTAGTAGTCCTTAACTAGGAACTGAGCATGTGCAACTCCCAACAAAGATCATTTAGAGACAAGATGACTCCATAGCTAAAACAAGCCTTCAACACAGGGTGAAAAGAGGAGCTGCAGCAATGTGCAGTATGGCAAAAATATGGTGTTTTTTGAAAATGAAACCATGTAAACCTGTTCTGGTACAACCTGTAAAAAGGATTTTGAACCTGAAAATGAGCAGAATACCACCTCTTTAAACATTTTTACTTATGAGGCACTCTGTAAAGAGTTTTAGAGAAAGGTATCAGTTAGGGAAACACACAACTTGATTCTTATTTTTAGCATCATTTCTGTTGGTAATCTCAACGCACAGATTAAAGTGACAATGTGAAAGAAGTCGCTTGTATTGAAGAACTGAAAATACAGATTCCCTTGATTTTACTGAGCGTTGTAGTGAGTGAGTATCAGCTCATTGTTTATCTGTCCCGCCTACAACTTTACTGTTCTGGTTCACTCTGCACGCTCGCTCTCATGGTTATGAGATAAAGCTGTGAAAGAAAAAACACCCAACACAACCTGCTCAGCAGCAAACAGCAGGCAGACACAGTTAGCGACGAGCTGCAGGAGCATTTAAAATCTAAGAGCCAGATAATTCACCCGAGAGCTGGTGGAGACCAAAGACAGAGCTAAAAGAGAGAAGATTGGACTCACGTTCATCCGGTGAAGCAAATACCACTCCAAATAAATAACAGATGTTGCTCTGTAACCGCTGGATGTGAAAACAGTTTGCTAACAGGTTCAACATATCAACATGAACGTACAATTTGTCAGAACTGAGACTTCTCCTCCGCCTGTCGAATTCATACTCCATAAAAATGGGAGGCAGCACATCACATATCAGGTCATAACTGCTGTTAACTTTCGCTAGTTCAGTTAGCTGTGCAGCTAACAGGCAACAAAAGCAGGCTGAGCAGCCTCCCAGTGGACTGGGACCGAGCACAGCCAAGAGATCCATCCAATCTTTGTTGACATATTTCAGTGTTCAGGCTTTCATTACAGCTACAGCTGAACATATCCGTATTTCCATAATATTTCCATAATATGAAGACGTTGTACACTGATTCGTTGCAGTCCGGAGGTGTTTGAAGTCTGCATTTGTTGCACAGCTTCGTGCTCAGATCTCAGCTTGTGAGTCAGACCTGATCTTCCTGCTGCTTTCTGGCCTTATTAGAGCTTTCGATTGCAGCTGACAGGACTAATTACTGGAGGGAGGAATTACTAATGCTTCTTGATGCAGACGTAACCTCTGGTGGCCTTTACCGCACACACATACTCCAGCTGCATAAATTAGTGGACTAGCAGAGCCTGTATCCAAACCATCTGCACGGTAATCAAACTTCACAGCTGTTTTGAGTCTTGAGTCTGGAGCCTTGCCAAAATGACACACTACTATTTGATCTGTGTGGGGGCTTGTCAGTGAGAAAGACAAATGACTATATGCACCTCTCAGCTTTCATTAATCTGATTAAATGTATTGTTCAGATGTTACAGTTTGATGCTCCCCTGCTGACTGGCACATTTGAATTCCTTTCACAATATTTTCCAAACCGTCAGGATCCGATCCACCTCTCTGGTGTGTAAATCAGAAACTCTACCTGTACTTTAGCTCTGAATCGCAAACTGAACTGTCGGTCTGTTTGTCCAACATGTTCAGAGTTAGATATCACTACAGGCATTGGATGGATTGCAGATTTGAATGGTTGGACCCTAGATGATGGTGAGCAAAGCAAATGCCAAATGTGCTGTGGATTTTCAGGCCTTGAGACTAGATGTCCTCAAATAGTCACCTGACCCTCTGCGCACTCACCCCTCATTACACTTTTAATTTAATTACCCTTAACCAAGTTGTTTGAGTGCCTACACGTACAGCAACCATAATAAACCTTCAGATATTGTAAGAGAACTAATTAAAATGTTGTAATAGAATATTTTACAGATGTGTTCAGTGTGAATGTTCTGTGACTTGCCAAATATGCTCATTAACAACACATCCTCATTATGTTGATAAAAACACAAATAAACAGATAGAGTAGTCAGGATATGGCAAAAGAAAACAGACTACAGTGTCACAAGATTTAGATTACAGCTGAAAACACATCTGCAAGAACATTTTACAGAATGCAAGTTTTTAGAAGTAGAGTAGTGCCTCATACATCATTTAAAATTTATGAACAAAATGCACCACCAGGCAATTTTAGTGCAGTACAGAGAGAAAGAAGGGCGGCTGGCCAAAACACACACACACACATGCCAGCTGACCAACTGGGTGGCGGTAGACCCAATGAATCAAACATTTGTCTTCATCACTGTTACCATCGCGACGTGGGGAAATGAGGCGTGGAGGGTAATGGAAGAGGGCGCAAGCACAGAAAGTGAAAGGGAGGGAGGGAGGAGAGGTGGTTTTGCAATTTTCACATTTTACGCTGCTTAACACGTCAATTAAACCAGTAAATGGATCTAATTACTAAACACAGCAAAAGCAAAAATAGAGACCTACTTTTACCCAGAACTGCAGAGTTCACATACGAGATATTATATTAGCTATTATATACTGTGTCACTATGCTTTTCCATGACCAAACATGTCTCTGTCTACTCATAACTTTACCACATGATAATTTCACCCCTCAAGATAAATTGGTTTAATTTATGTTTAGTTTTTTCTTTGCTTTGAAATTGAAACGCACATAGTTTATCGGTGTACAATTGCATTAATCCATAAATTGAGCTAGTGTTTTCATTTACTTCACAAATAGATGTAGAACTTCTAGGTTCTCACATTTCCCTTTTTTAACCTCACTTCTAGTGGAAATAAAAATACTATCCCATTTCTACTACTGCCTGTGTCCGTTTGGTTAAAATGATGAACTGGAATTTCACTTTGTGATTAACCAACCAAACTGAAATATATACATATATATGTGTTCATTTAGAACAAGCTGTAAAATAATCCCCCTAAAATAATCAGCACCGTATTGCGGATGAGGGATTTGTGAGTCCCTGTGATCATGGCAGCTGTGTTGCTCCTTTTCAGGAGGGAGATCTAGGAGAGGATGCCGGCGAGCGTCTGGTGAGCGAGGCTTGACCCACGGGGCTCAGCAACATGATGGATCTCCTGGGCGCCTTCCTTAGGAGGTATTCTGCTTAGGCCTAATTGGGAGGAGACCCAAAAGGTAGACCCAGAACTCGCTGAAGGGCCATATCTCCTATGGCCTGGGAACACCTTTGGATCCCCCAGGAGGAACTGGAAAGTTAATACCCTGCTTAGCTTGCTGCCACTGTGACCCGACCCCACATAAGTGGACGAAAATGGATGGATGGACAAGCTGAAACCAAAAAACGGGAAAACCTTATTTTTCAACTTTTCAAAACAACGTATAAATATAATTACCATTAAAATACCAATCTAACGTTTAAATTTAAACGTCTTCTGCTGGCTGGGAACACGGAAATGCTCACTGTGTACAATAAAGAAGCCTTGAAATCTTACCAAAAAGCCACTACGGCTCGTGTCAAAACTAAATATATAAAATGTTTTATCAGCGGCGTTATTGTTAGCGGGTTTCAGCTGGTTGTTGAGACTCTGCGATGAAAAAGATATATAAAATAGTTTTATATCAATGTACCAACTCTATAGAAGGAAAATGAGTGTGTAAATGTGTGAGTCGCAGCAGCCTAGTCTCATCATACAGTCTCTTCCTGTTTGGATGTTTTATCTCTTAATCATCAGACCGAAAAATAAACCAAAACGGCAACCTGGGATTCATGAGATTTAAATCACTGAAGCATTTTTCGGTGTTTTTCATTTTAGAGCAGTTTGTGTCTGTCCTTGTGGAAATGCCAAGAGACACACCAGGGGAGTAAGCTGAGGAGAGAGAGAAGAGAATAGTGGAGTAAGGAAGGAAGAATGAAAGTAGTGGAGGAGGGTGGCAGTGATTTGTAGAGGAAAAGTGGGAATGTTTGCAGGCTATTCTCTGATCTGGAGATAAGAGCTCAGAGAGGAAGAGATGAAGGTTTGAAGCCTCATCCATGTGTGCAGGACGGTCCCAAATCTGGGATCTGTAACAAAATACATGACTTTAAGAGTCACTTTCTGTCTCCATCAAAGAGAAATAAATCCAAAAAAGCAACTTGTGAAGTGATCCAGGTGATCCTGCTCCCATCCTGTCTTGCTGTTTAATCACATCAGAATACATCATGTCGCCTCCGGTGCGTATCTCGCCCTCCCTTCCTCTCTCCGCTTGGCTGGATGACATCAGAGCATCACATCACTTTTTTTTTATGTGATCAATACGCATGCGTGATATCGAACAGATGCTTTGGGGGGGTGGAAGCGGGCTGATCGCGTCGAGTTTCACAACACTCAGAGGACTGAAGTGACAAGTGCGAAGGAGCGAATTTGGAGAAGACGTCAGTGTTTCCAATGCAGTGCGACTTTTGGAGGACATGTAGGCAACTTTGTTTTTGGACGGTGGGTGTCAGTTTCATACAGGATTAAGGAAGTCTATTTTTGAAATTGCATAAATTGTCTGTCTGGTCATCACGCAGCCCATTGAAAGCACGCATGTGTATTTCATGTCAAATTAGTTAAACATGTATCATGTCTACAAATAAGTTACAGCGTGGTCATTTCATTTCAGATGTTGCATTATGTGGTTCTAATAGGTAATATTATCTATCCATTCTGGAGAGAAAGCTACTTACTCCTGCAGCAGTGAGGGGCACTTTATGAAGAGGGGGGCTGTTGGTGATCAGAGTGAGACAAATTCTCTTCCCTTTCTCCCATATGGCAGTGAACGTCACTTCAGGTCTGTTCTCACGGATCTTTTAACAGCTGACGGAGCCTGTGAATATCATGATGACCCATGCTGGTGAACTCGCCGCCCTGCCCCGCACCGCCTACCGCGACCCAGCGCACACACAGCTGGGTAAAGGACAGTCCTCGACCTCACTTCACCTGCAGCGGCCGCTGCAGCTCGAATATGACGGACTCACGATGGGGCACCTCGGAGTGACCGATGTTGCGCATTCAGTCGGGAGCGCGCATGTGAACATGGGGAACAGTAACGTAGTCTGTCACGGAGTGCGCATCTATTCCCACTTTCCAGGCCCCGGCTGCGCAGCGGCGTCACAACTGTCGGCCAGCAGACACCTGCAGAAACTGAACACGCAGTATCGGAATCACGGGCAACCGGCATTCCGTCACCAGGATCACATGAACGAGCCACAGACTGTTAACTACCCCGAGCGGTTTGGAGACGGCAGCGACTCGGCGCACTCCGGTGCGTCTGAACGGTCTCCGGCGGCACTCCAGGAACACGTCCCCGGAATAGACTCTGACCTGGTGGACGAGGAGGTTCTGATGGGTCTGGTGATAGAGTTCGGTCTGGACCGTGTGAAGGAGCTACCGGAGCTGTGGCTCGGACGCAACGAGTTCGAGTTGGTGGCGGACTTTGTGTGCAAACAGCAAACCAGAGTGAGCTGAGTCAAGAGAGGAAGTTCGTTTCAGGACCTGTGGCTGAAGCTACGGCAGAGCGCAGTCTGTGGGGTTCCTGCTCTACTGCCGGAGCGAGGACTTCTGATTACAGTGATGATATCCAAATCCACTGATCATCCATCTCTTGAACCCTGCCTTTATTTCTTATGTCACATAGCTACTTCATGCCTCAGC